AAAAAAATTGTGGGCAGTGTCTAAAACAAAAACGTGCTGCCTTTCCAAGGCCATGTCCACGGACCTCCTCTCAGATTAAGACAACACTTTTTTTCACCTCTGGGTGAGAAAGTGATTATAGTAATGCCAGAGCACTCTCCACCAGGGGGGGTTGCATTCTTCAGGTGGATGCTGGAGACAGCTGGTGGTTGGTGGGAGCATCCTGCCCTCTGCTGGAGTTGGCTGGAAAGGGAAATTTGCATTGCCTGCGAGAGAACACTGGGAACTTGTTCAGCTTAACTGAAAATAAATATTTGTTTGCATGTTGATGAGGTTTAGTTAACCAGGGGATGTATTCCTCATGTGATATCTTAATTTTTAGGGGATTTCCAAGTATCCAGGAAGAAAAGTCCATTGTGTGTCACATGCAAACCTCTGCATACCTCTTGCTCAGTAAATTGAAGACACAGAGTGTCAGAATTTTTAAAGAAATGTAAAGAATCAAAGCTGCATCTCTAATGATTTTTAAAGTATTCACATCATGTTGTGATATGATAGAAATAACCCCAGGAGTGCCATTAGACTGCTTGAATTTATACATTAATTCTGCAAGATAGTAAACCTCTTTGAGGCTGTCTCTGCCTCTGTAAAAAGATTCTGTTCCCCCTTAAAAGGTTGCTGCGAGGATCAGATGAGCTAGTAATGTATGCGGGAAAGCTTTCCCGGCCGTTGGGCCTGTTCTAGACATGCATGCCCTGTGCTGATTCACACAGAGTACAAAGTGCTGAGCATTAGGAACGTTGCAGAATTACTGATGTCTTGAAATTTATTTTGAGTCAAACTGGAAAACAGATAGTAACGTTTCAAACTTAGAGAATGAAAATGTGATGAAAGGAAGCTGGACACCCTCAAAGTAATTTTTGCAATCAGCTCTATAGATAGAACAGTCTCAGTCTCATTCAATTGTCTGTAATGTGCTATGCAAATATTATCTTTCTCACCTTTATTAGCAGCAAAATGGTAAAAAAATGAATTACAGACATACTCTTTTACAGAAACCAAAGTTCCCTTTTTCTCTTTCACCCTCTCCTTTCCCTTATCCTTTCCTCCTCTCTCCTTTCCTTTCTTTTTCTTTTATCCTTTCATTTCTTGGCTCTGGGTCCTCCTTTGTTGGTGGCTCCTGTTCTCCTGCTAAATTAGAAGTAGTTGTAGAAGCATGGCCATCAAAGGCCATGCTTAGCTGTTTCTTGCCCTCCTGTCGCAACCCCACAGGAGGAGCAGACGGAACACCACCCTAGCTCCTAAGTTGTCCATTGTTCAAGAGGTGGCATGCCAAACGGTGGTGGGGCCATTAGCAGTGTGGAGTTCTTTAGGTGAAAATAATAGACCTGTTTTAAAATCAATGCACTTAATTGATTTGATCCTTTCTGTGAACAGCTGTGTTTAATAAAAGGGTTTTTAAAATCTCAAGCGTATTGATCACCATGCCATATCAGCAAATGTTATATTGATATGTTCTAGAAATTTCAAGTTCTATAAAATCTTAACACTAGTTTCCAGGCCGGGGAGATAGCTCAGTAGAATAAACACTTGCCTGGCAAGCGCGAGGTTCTGAGTTTAATCCCCAGTATTAAAAAAACAAACAAACAAAAAACAAAACAAAAACAAAAAACCCCAGAAAATACTAGTTTCTGAAGGCACACAGGGTTAAGGGACAATTTCCGTACATGAGATATTCAGGATTTTTATATATATTTGCATAAGAGAGATAAATTGGTGACAATGGAATTAGGGAAGAAATAACTAGATTTCATGTGATCTTTTTACATATATGTATATTTAACTGGTACCTGAAGTTCATATATGTATATAGACTACAGTGTGAAATTTCAGCACATGCACATGTAAACAATGTAAAACGATCAGATCAGGGTAACTGGCATAGCTAGCATCTCAAATAAATATTATGTTTTTATATATCATATATAAAATTTCTTTGAATTGGAGACATTTCAAATCATTATTGTATTTTTCACTCATTGTTTAATTAATGATCATCATCGCTATCTTACTACGCTGCGGAGCACTAGAAGGCATCTTTTCTATCCACCTGTGCCCTTGTGTCCCATAACTAGCCTCTTCCTACATCTCCCCACCCCCGCCCCCTGCTCTGATACCTGCTATTGGATTTCTACTTCCTTGAAATCAACTTTAGCTTTCACATATGAGTCAGAGCATGTGATATTTGTCTTTCTTTCTTCAGCTTATCTCACATGGCATGGCATTCTGTTGTTACAGCACAAGGCATTGTTTTTGTTCTTTTTATGGCTGAATAATATTTCATTATGTAGGAATAGCACATTTTCTTTACTCATTCACCCATCAGTGCCTGCCTAGTTTCATCCTATCACTTGGTGCATCGGTCAGTTTCCTATCCATGCAATGACCTACCTGACCTCTGCAATTTGTTTTTATTTTTTATTTTTTTTATTTTTCAACAAATAATACACTGCATATATTCTTCTTAGTGGTTAGTTGCTGTACAAGATGCGGACTTGTGATCCTATTTACAAACACCATTAGAACAAATCATTCTATTCATTAACAGAATGTAACTATATATCTATTCCAACCACTTTGAATACACAGATACAAAATGGATATTCATCTGTATACCCCATTTTTTCTAAGTTCCGTTATTGAATATTATAGGTGTGTAAACTCAGCAAAATATTCTAAAAGAGTCCAGTAGCCCATAATAGCATTGGGTCTTCTGTTTAACTGGCAATGTCAGAAATTATTGACCTGAGTCCCCCACAGCTCAACTTAACAGCATGGCTTTATTTCTTATAATTTCGTCTTCATACTTTTCTGCTGGATGGTTAAGACCAAGGTAAAGCAGGACCTATGCAACAAGAGTTGTAGCTTTTTGGTCTGAGAAGGTCAGTGAAATGCCCTCAGGATTTGTCCTGAGATCCTGTACCTCAGATTGTAGAACCTTTATCAGTGCAGCCATGTGGATGAGTCACGGCCAATGCTTGGCCAATGTGCTCTCTGTGAAAGCCTGAGAGAGTATCTTCTCCCCATGTGACTCTCCTTAGGCCCACTCTATGTCATCGATCACTTTCCTCTTTGGCCCCATAATCTTCTTGATCAGAAAATTTGGGACACTACCGAGGTACATGACGTTACAGTACAAGTTCTCATATGTCCTGAGTCTTAATTGACCTTAGAAGGCTAGGGCCAAAATGTTGGCTTTCCTTGTATCCCTGACCTCTGCAATTTGAAGGAGAGGTTTTGAATCAGACTTTTCAGAAGACTTAGTCCACAGTTGGTTGGCCAAGGGGGAGCTGGCATGTGAGAAGTGCAGAGCAAAGCTGCACATGCCGCAGTGGCCCAGAAGTGGAGAGAGGAGGGCAGAGCCACGGCCAAGAGTGCATTCTGGCCCAGGCCCTTCCTCTGAATGTGCGAGACTTTTGGGCGCCATTGAGAGTCTAAAGCACAACCCTTGGATATTGTGAACAGGGCTGCAATAAACACACAGGGAGTAGAAGCCTCACATATTGATGTCTTTTCCTTTGGATAAATCCCAGAAGTGGGCTTGCTGGGTCTTATGGTACTTGTAGTTCTAGTTTTTTGGTTTTTCTTTTTGAGGACCCTCTATACTATTTTCCATAATGACCATATTCATTTACATCCCTGCCAACAGCATATGAAAGTTCCCTTTTCTCCACATCCTTATTAGGATTTGTTTTAAAATCCTTTTGGTATGTCATTCGATACTGAAGGATGACATATTCAATGTGAACGAAGTGTGTGTGTGTGTGTGTCCTGGGAGACAGCAGGTTTCAGGGCAGGGAGCAGTAGAGTAGAATGATTTTCATAATATTATGAAAATCAGTGTTATGGTTGTAGCCAGACTGATGAGAAAGGTTATGTGGAGGTGGTTAGGGACCCCGTGAAGATGCTATTTTCCTGCTGAGATGTGAAGCTTGAATTTCCCTGGATATGCATGATTTTTGCATGGTAGGTCATTATCATACCTACATGATATGTCACTCAGACAGGTAAGAGGTTTTTTGGGGGAAGGAAGTTAGGTTAAAAATGGTATTATAGTTCCCTGTGTGTCAGTTTCTGAAAGAGCCCCATAGTAGGCTCTATGTTTGCTCAGACTGGGCTGGGTTAATGATTCCCTGACCAGACTAGAATCCTTACCTTGCATCTTCTTTAAAAGACAGCAGGTTGAATCCTTCTGATTGATCTCATGCATTATTAAAACACAATCATAAAACTATTCTGTCCTTCAGTTTTGAAACCCAGATAGTCTTTGTGGAGTTCATTGCCAAAAGAGGAAGATTTAGAAATGATAGCAATCATTTGCTAATCTGACTTGCCATTTCATCACACACACGAAGAAGAACAGAAAAGACCCATGGATAAAGACTCCACCTGCTCATCTGATTAATTGTAAATGTAGATTATTTATATCAACTGATTGGCATAGTATTACTGATCTTATTTGTCTCACATAACAGTTCCAAAAATATTGAAAGATTGCCCACTGAAGCTTTGTTTATGGTGTATCAGAAGAAAGCATTACAATGTACGTTGCTCAGTTCCTATGATCTTAAGGAAATTTCAGAACCTATTTTTTTACTTGTGATTGCTCAGCATTTAGCCCACTATGGACATTCTGAAGCAGTGCAGCCTTACTGTTAGTGTTCTGAGTTCACAAGCAAAAGAGCACAGAGTAATGTGACAGTCCCCTCAAAGCCCTTTTACCTCTCTGTGACCTGTACATAGTAGGTGCTCAATCAGTAACTTGAGAAATAATGACGCGATGAATAGAGTCCCTCCCTTTCCTAATGATGTTGGCTGCACTGGTTATCTCAAGTGCATATTAAAACACAAATTGCTCTATGACTGCTTGGTCTCATGAGTTAATGTTTACAAAGTGCTTTGAACTTCTTGGAAAGAGAATGGTGTTTTTGTTGGCACCGTATAGTGTTTGCGGTGCCACACGAATTCCTCCGCCTTCCCTTCCTCCAGGTGCCTGTGCTGGGCACCACCCACTCGGACCCCTTCAGGCAGTGCTGATCTCCCACCCAAAGGCCCATTGCCTCCCTCCAGCCAGCACCTGCCTGCTCTAGGCTCAGGTAGGGTCCAAAGAAACCATGGGGAACTTGCTTTACAGCTCTGGGGAGACTCCGGGGAAATGAAACCTGGGTTGGCACTAATGAATTTTGAGGGGTTCAGGTGCTGAATCAGCTATGGAAGAAGTGATGGGACAGACAGACTCAAGGGGAGATAGAAGTGTCATTTGGCAATTGTATGGCCAACACTACTGATTTCTCCATTTTATGTGGATAATTCAAATGATTCAAAACCTTGACAAGTAGCTGGCAGCTAGCTAAATGCTTTAGTTCCCTTAGAAGGAACCCATATGGCAAAGTAGATTTCTCTGGTGTGAGTAAAATTTTCAACTATTATGATTTATTTCCCCATAATTTCTTTGTATTTTTATGATGGCAAATAAAGGGATTTTACTTCACAGATGTCTGATTAAGGGTGTGATTCCTTCCAAGGCATTTGTTCCTATTTTTAAAACTGCCTTTCTACTGAGGAATTCAGTAAACTTTTTTTTTTTTTTATGGGAAATGAACGTTCTTTATGAATAACTTCAGGTAACAGAGTTCTTTTTCGGGTCACAACACATTAACTTGCAATTGATTTTACACAATAAATATCTTAAAGTAATAGGAGGAGAGCCAGTTACAAGCTCACAATAGATAGGCTGAATCTGAGGGGCAGATTTCGCCTTGAGCAGGAGCAGCTTCTACTTTTACAACTTTTTGGAGTGACTTGCTTTCCAAAGTAGATCTTGAGGCTTTCTGTGGAGCTGGGAAAATGTCCGGAATCCATGTCTGTGAGGTAGTTTCTGTCCACGTAGCACATTTTCTCTCTCTTAACTTGCTTCTAGGGGCTTGAATGAGTTTTGTGTGGACAAAAACCATCATGGTATTCCGTTTAAAAGTTCCTAAAAACGAAGTCTGTATTTCTTCCAACAAAAATTCAAGCGAGCCTGACTTTAAATGAAGAGCTTGAAGTTACAAAATGTAGGACTTAAGGTGTTTCTAATAACAAAATTTATGTTAAAAAAAGTTATTTCCAATGAGATGTATTCACTATTTATCTGAAAGCAAAAGGAGTACATTTCATAGTTAGATTATAGAAGCATTTGGGACTCTTAAACTTTACAACACCCATAGAAATCACAGGTAAAACATTTGTCTGGGTGTGACCCTAGATAAAAAATGGATTGATTTTTATGTTGACTCCCTACAGAGTGAATTCCCTACGTGTACAGGGTTCAGGAGTCAGATAGGTCTCGCTACATTTTTGTTTTCGCTTTTCTTCTCTATTTCTGACTCACCGTCCATATCCTGAAATAAATCGGTTGGGTTTGGGAAATGAGAAATGGGCAGTAGGAATTAGGACCAGGCTGCGTTTCCCTGCCCGCGCTCAGGGTCCTTTTGTGTTGCAGGGGCTGAGAATCATGTGAGGGGAGCAGATAAAATAGCATACGCTCTGGCTTGGAGACCGGGAGGGCTCGCTCGCTGCGGCTGGACAGCTGTAGCTTCATGGTGAGTTTGGGTTTGAAACGGGAGAATTGATTCGCATTGTACAGTTTTTTTTCTTTGACCTGAGGGAGAGGAGGAAACGAATAAGTGTTAAGGAAGTGCTCATCAATATTGCTTGTTGTTACTTGGTCGTTTCTTATACTATTCGGTCAGCGGACTTGATGGCGGGACTTTGAGTTTATGGCTGCTAGACAATTTTTGATAAAGCAAGAGTTTAACAAATGTGGGAGCGTGACGTTATTTCAAGACAAACATAGAGCAAAGAGATTCATCTGGAAAGCTAGAGGTTCTCACTAGAAGAAGAGGGGCCTGAAGAGCAGCTTAGTGTAAGTTAGTGCAGACCTGGAACTCAAATGTGCTATTCTAAGGAGGAGTACGGGGAAAGGCAGCTGGGCGGGAGGGCGGAGCGGAGACAGATCGTTGTCTTGTGTGTCTACCCTAGCATTTTTAAGGTCAAGGATTCTTGGCCTTTCAGATCTGTGCCATCCTCAAAGGACAATCAATAATCTTTCTAATTGGTGGGGGTATCCTTTCTGGCACTGCTACATAAAAAGTCAGAAAGTCAGTTGCTTTTAAATGTTTTCTGTGAAATAGAATTGAATAAAATGATCAGAGCCCCATCAGAGGCAGATGAAACTTAAGCAAACAAATTGCCAGCCAAAAAGTGAACTTTGAGTAAGACTCAGTACTCCCCCCAGACCATCACGTCAGAGTTACACTTCTGAACTCGACCACCAGGGGTCAGGGCATTGTCTCTAGGAAGCTTTTACTACCGGCACTTGTGTGAAGGGCAGAGACTTACGTTTGTAACTCCCACCTCCTGGAAAGGATTCAACTTCTGGTCCTGTGACTTACCTCTGGTGCCTTTGATTTTGCTAGTCCCAGGTAGGTGCATGTGTGTCTCTGGCAATCTTTGTTTTATAAAGGTCGCTGGAGTGAAGAATCTCACCTTTGACGTAAAATTTCCGCAGTTCTCTAGTTTGCTGGTTTCATTAGAGGTGGCTATTGCAGCGTCCCCAGGACCTGGCCTCCGAGAGAGACTCGAGGCAGCCTGGACGGACAGAGAGCACCTGTGTCACAGGGACCCACGTCTGAATCCCTTGTGGTTTTGGACACGGTGCATTTCCTTTCTGAGAGTCAGGTTCCTCCTATTTTAAAAAAAGAGACCAATATTATCTACCTTAGGGGATTTGAATTAATTAGGCATACAAAGTACATTAGCAGGGTGACTGGCACACAATAAAGCAATTACTTAAGGTTACCTCTTGTGGTGGGGAGAGAAGGATGTCCTGGAGGCCCTCTGTAAACAGAAAAATGGTCACAGATAGAGGTCAGGTGTCACTAAATCGGAGATGATTCTTGGGACTTGAAGGTTCAGGGCCAATGTCTGGAGGTAGACTCTAAACTATAATAAATAAGTGAAGAATAGGAGATGCATACTTTCTCACTCTTTCTTTTTTTTTCTAAGAGTAGTAATGAGTAGTCCAGATGGCACAGTTAATTGGAATTACAATTGATCCCACAATACCATTTAAGTCAATAGTTTAATTGATTTTCTGCAGGAAAACCTTTATGAGAACCGCTAAGAAAGAACAAAGTGAAATGCATTAAATTCTGTGATTTGTTCATAACTGCCACCCACCCTGCATAGAAGTAATGAATGAAAAGAAAATTAGGGAGAGGCAAGGAACTGTGATTAAAAATATCAAATGGGCTGAAATTCAGTCAGCTGCTTGTCTGGTGGTCCTGTGTGATGTCAGGTCACACTGCACTGACTGTCCAGCTCACACATGCCTGATGCCCAGTGCTCTCCTCAAAAAGAAGAACCAGGAGTAGAGGAGGCAGCGCTGCTGTCCTAGACACACTTTTTGAAAAGTAAAGATGAAATTTGGGGTGCATAGATGTATAGCATGACAGTAATAGCCAGCAAGTTATTAGATGGGGTGAGATGAGATGAGATTGTTATTTAAATTCAAATCTCTATACGCTTCACCTTCAGATCCCTTTTAGTCTTGTTCGACTGTAACATGATGTCTATAGTGGAGTGAAACACAACTTTCTACTATATATTTCTCTCCTCAGCGAGGAGTCAATAAACCAGGACACCTAAGTGGTCATGAAATGCTATTTTTGAAGAATTTTCTTTATGTTGAACTATAATTTCTAGATTTTTTCTCATAAATCAATCATAAAAATATTTTGACTGGTATTGTTATATCTCTAGATAATACTTGTATCTTTTTGATAAATAAGCATAATAATAGAATAGGTAACAAGGAATAAATGATGGAGAATAAAGTGATGAAAACAATAGCCCTCAGGTTTTTTCCATAATTTTATTGAGAAACAAATAGCAATGAGACAGTTTCAAATTAAATTGGTAGGACAGTTTCAATAATTAACACATTGTATGCTGTCTCCCTAGTGATTATTTGTTGTACCAGATGCAGACATGATATCCTACTTACAAACACTATTTGAACAAATCTCTCTATTCATTTAATTAAGGCAATGTAGCTATATATCTGTTCTAACCATTTTGAATACACAGATACAAAATGGTCATTCATCTGTATCCCCTTTTTGGTTTGGTTCTGTCATTTAAATATAGGTGTGTGAACTCAGCAAAATATTTCAAAATAGTCCAGTAGTCCATAATAGTATTGGGTCTTCCACTTGACTGGCAATGTCAGAAGTTGTTGACCTGAGTGCCCTACAGCTCTACATAATAACGTGGCTTTACTTCTTATACTTCCTTTTTATACTTTTCTGTTGGATGGTTAAGACCAAGATAAAGCAAGACTTATGTAACAAGAATTGTAGCTATTGTATCTGATAAAGTCAGTCAAATCCCCTCAGGATTTATCTTGACACCCTGTAGCTCAGATTGTAGATCCTTTGTCAGTGTCAGCCATGTGGATGAGTCAGGGCCATTGTTTGGCCAATTTGCTCTCTGAGAAAGCCTGAGAAAATGTTTTCTCTCCATGTGACTCTCCTTAGGCACACTCTACATCATCGATCACTTTCCTCTTTGGCCCCATAATCTCCTTGATCAGAAAATTTGGGACACAACTGAGTTACATGATATTACAGTACAAGTTCTTATATGTCCTGAGTCTTAATTGACCTTGGAAGGCTAGGGTCAAAGTGTTGGTTTTCCTTGCGGCCCTCCTTTTTCTCTAATTTTTGGTTTGCAAACTTAGGTTGTTAACCCTCCAGAAGACAAGCTTATTGTTATTACCATATAACCTAGGCTGTTGAGCTTAACCTCACTATCTGTCTGAATATCAAACATCTTAGGCATAACATGGAACAGGTATTTTTCATCAAGTATTGATATGTTAAACTTTAAGTCCCTACAGAATATGACAAAACAATTTTAAAAATTAAAATATATTTAAAAATAGGAATAAAGAATTATATATGTTTACACATAAGTCCAGAAATCTAACCATATACAGCATTGCAGCAGGACAGTCCCGCAACACTCCTTTTCCTATCTCCTGCTGTCATCCACCACCCTCTTCCTTTTTAAACAATCATGTAACCGAGAGACAGCACGGCAGCAACTTAGCCATCAGTATTTAATGAACTACCATCTGCTGGTTCGTATTTCATCATTAAATTTTTTTTTTTTTTTTTTTTGGAACCAGGGATTGAACTCAGTTCCTTGAACTTGTCAGGGAAGCACTTATTCTACTGAGCCATCTCCTTGGCCCTCATCATAAATCTTTACAGTAACTTGTTAGCAGTCATTATTGTTATGGCCATTTTTTTGTGATGCAGAATTTTTTAGATGAAATATTTTTTATCACATCACTAATTTATTCCAAGTTACTGCTCAAGAAACAGTGGAAAGATAATAAAATTACACATCCAAATAATCTGGATTTGACTATTGATGCATCGTATATAGTGAGTGGTACAGTAAAAACCATTCAATCTCTGTATGTCTCAATTTCATTAGGGAAAATAAGATTCTAACAGCTACTTCACACTTAATGTGTTTTTAACTGCACAAAGGACTTGTGAAAGGACTGGAAGCCTGCTGAATGCTTCCTCCGCAGCATCTTCCCCTAGTCCTGGTATTCCTGCTCCCTGGGCTTCTGACTCAGCCCGTTTGCTCAGTACATAACATCTCAATCTTCTTAGCATTATTTCTCCTACCTTGAGAAGCCTATATCAACTACTATCTACCGAGTTAGCCCTTCTTGATAAGATAGACTTTAGTATGATTGGTCACAGTCTTTTTATATTATCAGAAACATGTCATCATGTTTTTACATTAATTTATCATGTATGGTTTATTACTTCCCTCTAATTTTCTCAGAGGAGAAAAAAAATAATATGAAAACTGTTATAGGAGGAAGGAAATGTGTGACATACTATCTTGAGAAAATAAAGTTTTACAATTATTTGAAGAGGATGCTTTCATTTATCTTACATCTATCTCTATCATACCCTCCTTTATAATTTATGCCTTAATTTAATTATGGTAAAGCACCAAATAAAATTAAATGGAGGACCATTCATCAAAATACTTGATCAATATATACAATAGAGTGAGGATTTGAATCCAGTTTTTTTTTATACTTTAAAACATTTTCTTACTCCTGTAATATACTATAAATCTGTTATTCTGAGTGCCACTGCCTGTGTACTTTGCTCTTTGATTGAGAATATTTTTACTTACTTTTTTAATGTAGGCTTTCCAGTGAATGTCCTAGTTCTTTACTTTTCGTTTGTGATCACTTTAGTGGACCACTTTCTTCCTAATGGTAAGACATGTGTAATCTTGTTTACATTGTTAATGATTTTACTAAATATAGAGAGCTGTTCCTGGTCCTCTTCTCAGTCTGGGAAGTTTCTATTTGTAATCCCATGGAAAGTTATTGGAATTCTAGTGAGTTAATTCCAACCTACCACTTCCAGTGCAACTCATGGTGATAATAAAGATACTAAGGCATAGTTGCAGTCATAGGGAGTGAAGGGGCCTTAAGTCC